TTCCAATAGGTTAACAAGTCTTGTTAATTGTCGCCTCAAATGCGACACGTTTTATCCATTTTAGTAAATCTGCATTTTTAAGCCAACGAATTTATGTATGATTTTAATCTTTACATCTCCTCTTTATTAAATAATGCTCCAATATAATTATCATACCAATATAAATGCGAAAGTTTAGATAGATGGATAGATGAACGTTTGTTAGGGTTTGTAGTTTAAACAGCTTAACGGATTTCGATTACATTCGTTGTTGATGTAGAAGATAGTCTGGAAGAACACATAGGCTACTTTTTTTTTATACCATGCGGACGTAATCGCGGGCGAAAGCTAGCACAGATTAAAAAATTTATAACTAAATTATTTACGAACTTTTTAGTACAATCATATTTTTTATTACTTTTTTTATAGTATAAGGTGGCAAGCAAGCGGCCAACTAAAAACTATTTCATAGCAGATCACTCCTAATTTAACAGAGAGTTTTGTCAAAAACAAGTTCAGTGCCCCATATCGGCGTATTTCAGAAGTCAATGACCCCTAGACAAGGACTTTACTAACCAGAGTTCTTTAACCGAGGCATACATAAGTTAAAACTATTTAAAGTGATGATAGCTGATGAATTGTGAATACATAAGTTTGTAGGACAATAAGTCTTTTTTTTTCTTTAAGATAAGGCGGTAAACGAGCAAGGGGCCACCTGAATCTACCGAAATGGAAAACGACAGCTGCCTATCAACATCCGCAATTGCAGATGCGTTGCTTACCCTTAATTGACGGAGGAGGAAACGCACATATAGATGACATTTCCCATTCCTATACGTCTCCTCCACCGTCAAATCCACCTTTCTTTCCCATCTTAAGAAAAGGGTGGAAAGGGAAAGGAACTAAAATCAGGCCTCTTTTGCTACTAAATTATCAAATTTAGGACACTCAAAGGTAGAAATCCTTGCTAAAAACTTAAAAATGATACCTATTGTAACGCAATAAGATATAAAATCGTATACAAGTGTATTCTTTTATCTATCTAGAACTACATTGTAAATACCGCAATGCTGTTATTTGCCTATTCACCACGGTTTACGCATACTTTATGAGAATTTAATGGTATTTCCTGGTCAGTACAAAAGTTGTGAACAGCTATAACACAACAGGTTGTCAAACGCATTTGTGTTTGATGTGACGTATTGTATCTAATCTCTACTATTATAATAAAGCGTAAACACACACTTATTTGTTGCCTAAGATGTCAGCAATTACAGCATGTTTTTGAATAATTCTTTTTCTTTAGTAAAAAGCCCTACACTTATGGCACGCTTTAGGCTATATATTTTCACGCCATTAATCTTAAGGGTTAAATATTTTGGATAAAACCCTAATGTGGGAAAGAGACCATAAGTTGCTGCCAACATCAACGAAACAAGATTGCCAAGTTTTGTCATGTCATGTCATTTTGACATTTGTAATTGACAATTTGACACATGTAAACAATAAAATAATTTTATGCTGATGAAATCGCACGGGAACAGCTATTTATATTTAAAGCAGAAAGATAACTGTTGATTTGATCACACATTTAATTCATATCCTCATCATCATCACCAGCTCACTATTCATCCCCACAGAGGGGCTCGGAGCCTACCCTAATAAGGGACTGACAACAACAACTTGATAATGTCTGTTGATTTCTCAGTAGAAAACAAAGACAAAACATGTTATTTATAAGGGTTTTTGTACCAGTAAACCCAGTTAATCACCTCCGAGACGCAATTTATTGGCTTCTTAAAGAAAGAGTTAATAAATTAAATTAAAAAAGATTTACTACGGAATCGATGTGAAGGTTCTCTTTTGTGTTTGAAGTTGACAAGTTGTAAACATGGCTTCTTAAAGCAACGTTAGTTTATATTTATTTTATTCCAGATATTTCTGACTATAAACAAAAGAAACTGGTTAAAACTAGTCGTTGGCAACTAGACCAACAGACCAATAAACCTATTTTTTCTAATATACATACTAATAAAGGTAATAAAGGGTGTAGAAATATTAAATATTTTTAAAAACTTCGATATTGTAGGATGAAAATTAATTTGCTCAACCCAAAATATTAACTGAAATTCACTTGAATCGTTTTATTTCATCTGGAAAGTCGAATCAAGTTATTTGTAAGAGTTAAAATAATAAAAAACATCATATACCGTTAACCATCAACGAAATGTGAATTAAAAGTAATCGATTTTTTACAGCACATGAGTCATCCGTTCACGAGCGAGAAATCGATTATCAGAATCGATTAATCGAAGCGTAAAAGGATAGACCGACAAATAAATGATGTTTGAATTTATCATTAATACTTTAAGTAATAATAACTTTAAGTAATACTAAATAATAGAAGTTATTAAACATTAATTGTTACAAAAAAATACTTTTTTATAACAGCGGGACACTACAACAAGAAAGGTTTATTTGACAAAGATGGCAAATAAAAAATGTTCTTCACTTTTCTCTATATCCTCTCCCCCAATAAAACCCACCGATTCTTTCAACCTCATCAGAAAACGGTAGGAGTAGAGGATTATATTATGCGCACACTCTTTGTCACTTTTCGAGAATTCATGGGGACTCTCGGGTATTTCAGAACTCTGTTCTGAATGCGTGATGTTTGTATAAAGTTCATTCCACAACAAACGTAATTGTTACTATTAAGAAATAAATCAAAACTGCGCTGGAGGATTGGCGCAACACTAGATTATTTGCATGTCCCTATTTTACAGCTTTCAATGTCATTCAGACGTATTAGTATTACGCGCCATTCTGGCGGGATTCAGTACTCTGTTGAAGTAAATTACGTTGATACACAAAACTCTACCTATCGCAATAATGAATAGTATAGTTAAATACGTTACCTTGTCACGGTTTGTTGACACTAGAGAGATACAAAACACGTCGCCTGAATGAAGTTACATTATCACATGATACATTATGTAATCTTTAATGACTAATTGTTTTAAAAATACTAATATCATTGTTATCAATACAACCATTAAAAAACAGTGAAAATGGATGGATTCACAGAATCGTATCTACAATAGAAGACAGAATAACGCCTGTGGCAAACGAGCAAGCGGCCACCTGAATCCGCCAAAATGACGAAGCGACCGCTGCCCATACATCTGCAATTGCAGCTGCGTTGCCTACCCTTATCAAATGGAGGAGGAAACGCACATAAAGAGGATATTTCCCCTTCCTATGCATCTCATCCACCGTTATATCCACTTCCCCTTCCCATCCTCTCCTTAAAAGAAAAGGGTGGTAAAGAGAAAGGGACTTAAATTAGGCCTCCGGCACCACACTCATCAGATGAAACACGGAATAGTTTCCATTTCACGCCTGTCTTCTGTGTGGTCGTGGTATTACACGAGGCGTGCCGGCCCATTCGTGCGAAGATGTTAAAGCGGGCACTACCACTGTATTACATGAAGACAAATGTTTGATCCAACCTTAAAAAGATAAATACTAAAAGAAAGGAACATTTCATAATGCAATAAAGGACCAAGAACTAATCGCATTTTACACAATATAGAAAGAAAATTTCTTTCAAAACATCTCCTAGAAACGCAATTGCCGGTAATAATGTATGAAATATTCCCCCTTACGGTTATCTCTTCAGTTGCGTTATACCATTAAGCAATTGTTCCACTATTTGTCTATCCCAAGTTGGCGCAACTGTTACAACAGTTTTATCTACGTGAGTCGCACTAAAACGATTACTTTATTTATTACATCAGGATACACAACACTATTGCGAGGTTGCCGATAACTCCCCCTACTAAACGTCCTCCGCTTGTTATGCCTTGATTCATATTATTTAATCTGTATCTACTGACATTTCACGTATTAACTAGACAAATGACAATCAATACTTCGAAGGTTTACGTTTACTTAGAATATTTTATTACATTGACATAGGTATTTAGGACATTGTTAAAGTAATAACTAATGTTACAAAGGTTCGCAAATAGATGTATTAATTTCCAAGGTTGTTTCTGAACGTTAATGGTCTTGGATTTTGTATCCTTACCAAGTGGTATCTTATTTATTTATGAGTGCGGAGATACACCGTAAGACCTAGAAAGAGATGGATGGTTTGTGTGAAAGGTGACCAAGAAGGGAGTGGTGACTGAGATGTCGGATGATAGAGTGATTTGAAGGACAAAAAGCCGGTGAACAGAACCAACTTGAGTAGAATAAGGTAGGGGAAATGATGACCAACAGGTATCTTAGTTAGAATTGATATCTTTTTGTTTAACCAAGGAAACTTCGTTACGTTATGATGCATCCTGCTAAAATGTTATTAACCTGCTTTCGACCACTGTATTCGCTAACAAAGTTGCTAACCAATGTTCAATGGATAGACTGGTTACTATACATCGAACTAAATATATATACTTTTGCCGTGTATATGCCTATAGTATATTCAATCAACTTCATATAAACACGATGAGACACGCGATGAGTCGTTTGTTTTGTGTACATATACAAGACAAATGAAGGTACTCTTGCAAGAAAATACGACTTGAGATTGATAAAACAAACGCATATATTGCATTCTGTAGTTTTTGTCTCCATTGTTACAACAAATAATATTGTCGATAGACTTGAAATGTTCCGGTTTTCTAAGAGTGCACACACGTAACTAAATCCCTCGCACAACTGTTTATTCTCGCTTTGATTCCTATGGGCTTATATGGAGGTGCGCACACTATTTTTAGTTATGCAACTAATCAGTTGAATTGGCTGCGAATCAATCCACAATCGAATACAGTTGTGCGACAGTTTAGTCAACAGTATACCCCCGATCTAAATGCTTCATTTTCAACTAAATTATCACATTAGTGACGTTTTACGGATACTTACTTTAATAGCCAAGGTATTCTAAAAGTGACTGAGTACTTAAAGGCTTTTTTTACTAATTCTTTTGTTTTTAACATTTAAAACATTCTTCTTACCTTAACATCGATCAGTCGTACTGTAAAAGCTGCCGCTTCAGGCGCTGTTAGACGCAGTTGACAGGTCGTGTTGCCGGCAGAGGGCGGGCGGGACAGGGAGAGAGCGAGCGCCGCGCCTGCCCCCGCGTTCCCCCCGACCTCCACTTCCTTCGTGCGACCGCATAGTAAGCTGGAGCAGTCACCTGTAGGGAAAACAAGCTGTTATTCCATCAGAAATATCAAGCTACCGCGATTCCGTCCGCGTGGTACTAAAAAACAAAAGTTTGCTATGTGTTTTTCCAGACTTTGGTCTATGCCTTTCATCGAGATCAGTGCAATCGTTCTGCGTTACCTACTTTTCGTATTTACATTATTAGTAAGTTTAAATCGACATAACAAATATAAATTTACTTTTAACTTCTTATCTTTATTCAACTACTAGTTGTTGCTCGCGACTTCGCCCGCGTTTAATTAAAAAGCAATAATATAGCCTATGTTATTCACTGATAACGTAGCTTTCTAATGGTGAAAGATTTTTTGAACTCGGCCCAGCAGTTTTTAATTTTTTTCTCTTTATAATATTAATATGTACTAATGTGTTATTCCTTCATTCATTATTATAACAAGACGTAAACAATAATTTAGTCAGTAATTTGCTAACCTTTTAACATTGGAATAAAAACTTTTAAGTATAACCAATGCGTGTGGATTTACGCAAGAAAAGCTTACATTTATTTTAGTAGATCCTTAAGTTTTTATAACAATTTAGAATACAAGATTTACCCTAATTCCGTAAAATAATTCAATCTAAGATTTAAGTACAAACGTAAACCTTATCGCAGTGACGTCACGCTGCACGCAAATGCATCAAATTAGTTACGGATTCATATCGATTAGTACTAGCAGTAAATCGTGGACGTAATGTCGTAAATCTTACGCCTTAGTATTCGAAGGACCGACTATAGAACTAACGGCCGAATACTGAAACGGCATTTAAATATACAACGTCTTAAATAAGGCCATTAAACTACAAATTCCTATTAAAGTTTGAAGATTATATGCGTCTACAAAGCGAAGTATTTAAGATTCGTTTCAGTATTAGGCCGTAAGAGTCAGAACAACTTCAAGTCTTTTCAGTGTTGCTATATAAACAGTGTGACGTATTCATCGGATATTTATCGAGATAAAAATATGTTGCAAAACATAAACAAATAGTAACTAAGTGAAAAATCTATTTAAACAATTACAATTAACTTAAAAATAACCGAATTTTCCTACTAAAAAAGCTGCGATGCAACCATTTATCTCCATTGTAGTAGTAAAATACGCTTAAATCCATCTCATCTGTCTTGAGGGTACATCATGAACAAACTTAAGGTTTAAGTAAAGCCTGGTAACTAATATTGTGCTCTCCAGTTACCTTGATTAACCACACGCAACAACTGAAATGGTAAATGAATACGGCGCTATTCTACTTAGCCGTGGTCCTTCGAGTCGGCTTAATTGTACTACAATTAATTGTAAAAGATTTCCTACTTGTGTTACTTTGTTTAGATAAATAGAGTATCTTTCTTTGTTAATGAAACCTTGAGTTAAGTCGTCCTTTTCATTAATTTAACGAATTGAATGAACGAAACACGCTACAAACAACAATATCTTAATTTACGCTGAAGGTCGTTTTAATTAGATGTTCAAATTACAATTTACGCACATGTTTGCTTGTAGCTTTTTTTCAAAGTGTTTTTTATTGTAATAACTATAAGGATGTTATAAAATAATCAACATATCTGGTATTCCTGTCATCATCAACTTGCCCTTATCCCTTATAGAGTCGGCACAGTATGTGCTGCTTTCCATACATCTTTATCAGCCGCCATATCTGAATCCACTCCTTTCTTAAGCATATCCCCTTTCACACAATCCATCCATACTTTCTTCGGTCTTCCTCTTCCTTTGTTAATCCAAGTATCACTATATAGCAATTTTTATGTATATCAATATAACAAGCAACATGATATCGACAGATATATAGATTGGTGCAATAACAACAAAAATAATAAAATGACGTCACTGACACCTCACACCTCTTGTCGGAAAAAATAGACGATGAAAACTGTTAGGATTTAGAAAATATATTCATCTCACTTCTTACTAATATTATAAATGCGAAAGTTTAAATTGATGAATGTTTGTTAGAGTTTGTAGCCTAACTGTTGAACGGATCTCGATAAAATTTGGCATAGATGTAGAGGAAAGTCTGGAAGAACACTGGGGCTATTTTTTTTAATTCTCTTTTTCTACCGGAAGATAGTAAATCAACAAACAAATGTTTTTAAGTTTTAACTATACTTAACGTACTTACAAGTACGTAAGCTAGTAACATAGTTGTCATGAGGTAACAACACCTTAAAGGATACTCAGCTAAGTTATTTTAAGTTCACATAAGAGTGACTCATTTTACATCAGATTTAAAAATAGGCAAGACTTGTTTTAAAATAAACCTTACATTTTATTTTGGAATACACGAGAAAAACTATCTTAGGTATTAAAATCATACGAAAACAACATACAATTTTCAATCCTACCCAAATACAGTAACTATTATAGTTAGGTAAAAAGGTTTTATTTTTTTGCTGTTTGCTCACTAGATATCAAAGAGAAATATTTCTTTCCGCTTCTGTAACCAGTTAAGTTTTTGTGCTAGGGTACATTTAGGGTACAATAAGCTAGTTCTCTGCTATCAATCCTATGTTAAAATAAGCCTTTTGTCCAGTCATGTTTCTACTAATAAATTAACTACCGTAAATATTACAATCTCTATAAATTACTACTTAATAAAATTAATGATTTATTTTTAACTTTTTATAATCGTCTAAGTGCACCGTTCTTCCAGCCAGTCTTAACGTAAGATCATTATGCACAGATTCTATTTATAGAACGCATTAACAACCCACTTGCGTAAGAAACTGGACGCGTGTTCGAGTCCGCAGAAAGTTTTACACATTACCTGTTAGCTAGAGACAGCCTTTTGCACTACACAATTATTACAGTGCTATACAAACTTTACTGCGGCTCCATATTTCGAATAAGACGTAAAGAATACAATTTTTAGAATATAATGAGATGAGAACATACTACATCTGCAGTGGGCCCTAATACCCATTTACAACTTACGGTCGGTTCGAATTACGAGCCAGCATTAAGTTTGAATCGTGTAATACATGCTACCTGATTATGATATCCTGGTTGATTGAACATGTCAATCAATTTACGTCTTCTAAATGATTGCTTTAGCATAAATCTTTGAGATCAACAGGAAGTTCTTATTGCTGCAGTTTTTTAATAGTTACTGTCTGAATATCAAAGGAAGCAAATACATTTATGTAGTTTTTGACATGTTATATTATTTCTCAAAAGACAATCGATTCTTGTAACTCCAAGATATATCTTGTTAAGCATCACGTATAAGTACTTCTTGATAGATTTCCAATGAAATTTCGTGCAAAAACACGTAAGGCATGTTTTATCTTTATGAGGATGAAAATTTATTTCCATAACCTCATTACATTGTAACTCGGATACATGAGGATGAGGCTTTATAATCGATTAAGATCTGTGAAAAGGAATTGTCTAAACAGTGGTAAAGCCCGTTTTAATATCTTTAATATCCGGGGTCGGCTCGCCCGGTGCAATTCCACGACTACACGGAACAGGTGTGAAGTGGGAGCAATTCCGCGTTTCGTCTGATGAGTGTGGTGCCGGAGGCCCAACTTTAGTCCCACCTCCTTCCCACCCTTATTCTCATAAGAATAGGTCCATCCTATTCTGGATTCGACGGTGGAGGAGACACATATGAAGAGGTAATATCCTCTTTATGTACGTCTTCTCCTCTGTCGATTAAGGGTGGGCAACTCATCCGCAATTGCGAATATCTAGAGGCAGCGGTCGGTTCGCCACTTTGGTGGATTTAGGTGGCCACTTGTTCGTTTGCCACCTTGTAATAAAAAAAAGTAAGAATGTTATTCAAATATCGTTTAAAACATTAAAGATTTTTCGTACTCGATAACTGGTTACAATACGCTTCTCAAATGTGAAGACAAAAGTTGTCTACTTAACTTGTAAATCTCAGACGTCCTCGTGTAGATGTAAATGTACAATGTCTAGTTGCATATGGAGCGGTGCCAACAAGGCTGATGGTATGTCACTGATAAATAAAATATGAAGCCTACGTGATCGAATCTATCTCTCTTACTTTTATAACATCTTATGAATACTGTATTTTGAGGATTGAAAGAATATTGAGAACTTATACGATAAAGAATAAGGCGGAAATTCCTCTGTGGTTTTCGTAGAACAAAGAGTAGTAACGCTTTACTTTTTACCGCTCTTAGGATCTTTATACCACCTTTTTCATCTATAGAGATGCTATCTATAGATAGCTATCGTCAGAACTAAATTCTTTCTGATACCGATAGTTACATGTACTTGTTCTATCTTACTTTAAACTATTTGTTTTTGAATATGTTCTTGTTACACTTTGATAAGAGAAATTGTCATCAACTCATCGACAACTTGCCCTTATCCCTTATGGGTCGGCACAGTATGTGCTGCTCTTCCATACATCTCTATCAGCCGTCATATCTGAAGAAGTTGTAGCTATCAAAATTTTATTTAATTTGTACTACACCAGACGTTATAAATTTATATTTGTAACGCGTGTCTTCACTTCTTTAGTCTCTTTAGCCTTGAAGAATTTTAAATAACTTCGTTAGGATGTTAATCGTAAGTCTGTCGTTGTACAAATAAATGTTAAGCTGCTTCAATCTTATTCAATAAGTCTTATTAAAGCATAAGGGAATGTCTGTTTGCTTTACAAATGTCATTAATAATACAGGATGGTGAGTAATTTGTTAAACGCACGTGCTAACAAACGTTACTAAAGCTAGATTGCCTTGGATCGCAGCGTTTTATAGATTATCATGTAAATATGTTGAAAAATAATGATTTACATGTAAACAATCATTGAACATTTTTAGCACAAGAACATATTGAATACTAGCATTCTCGCGCAACTCCGTCGGCGTGGAACAAAAGAAACAAAAATGAGTAACTTATGTGTTATTCCAGACTATCTTCTACATCTATACCACATTGGATCGAAATCCGTCCAGCCGTTTAGACAACAATCATCCATAGTATAGTA